CTCACAAACATACACAAAGGATTGCACTCCCATAATGTACACATTAATGTCAAGTCCTCAAACTAGAAAGTTCTAGAGCAATATTGGTAAATCCCTTACCATAAATATAATATTTCCTTAACTCTACACTACATTATTTTCATGCTTAATATTTCTGAAATCAAGCTACATCTTAAAATTGAAATGCAGGGACCTATGTAAGGTCCTCAAACTCTTGTCCCACTGTCTGGTAAATTTTTCTGGGTGGCATGAACTAAAGTGTTATAATGCTTCCCTTTAAAAGTCTCCATTTTCCTCAGCGGGCCCCAAAACTGCACACATTATGGCCAGAAAGTTTCTCTCTTTTCTGTCTTATAAATTAGCTAGAAATATATACTTTTAAGATAACTAGAACTTTCCAAATAAGAGATTTGGTAGACATTCAAAAATAAATCAATGAAAATTCAGAATATGTGATAGGAGAACTTGCAGGGAGCCAATCCTGAGGCCTTCAGAAAGACTCCAGAATTCCTAGTAGTTTTTTTCAACCTTGGACTATATAGGTACACAGAAATATAACCTGGCATCAGAGCTTCAAGACCTAATTTAGGAGCCCCAGGCCAGACCAGGTTAAGATTACTCTGTGTTCAACACTCACATATAGGGCACTCAGGAATGTCTCAGAGGAAATATGTGGCTATTGAAAGATATACTGTGGCAATATATATCAGATACACAAATCACCCAGAATGCAGTGCCCGTGCCACACGGGAGAGTTCCAGTCTCTCCTGAGGGACACCAAAATGTGCTGCTGCAGCACTTGGAATGAAAGTGCATTTTCTGTGAGCAGCAACCTTCTCTGAAGAAATTGCTTTCTCTGTTAGCATTTGGAAGCTGCTGAGCAACCCATAATCAAGGTTTTCTTAATGTTGTTTTAAACAGGCCCATTATCAGAGTCACATCTCTCTGAAAGCTTCAGACTTCATTACACTATTAGAAAGGAATTAACATATTGTACCTGATAAGCTTCTGGTCTATTCAAAAACTTGCTGCTTTGCTAATACTGACTATCCCAGCAATTTCTTTCTATTAAAAGTGAGTCTCACAAGAATAAAAATATGTGCTATTTGTCTACATTTTTCTTGAAATAAAAAGGCAACAGTTCATTTGTCCAGGTGTTTTCTATCTATCTGAATTCAAGCAAGTATTCTTATCTTTTGTCAAAATAATATTTTTCTGTTGAAGAATTTATAAAGGAAAATCATTTTAGGTATGTTTATAGTAGGTAACATTAAAAGTAAATTTCAAGGAAAAATAACTTTGAATGTTAATGATTTATTAGAATATTTCATGAGTCCACAATCTAAATAGAAATTAAGAATATCATTATGTTATGCTAATGCTGCATTGTTACATCGCCTGGCAGTTCTTAAATATTATTAAAATTGAAGACTTGGAAAAATATGAAAATAAATGTATGTAGAGAGATTGAGCAAAAATAGCATTGTTAGCTTTTGAAAATAGGTTTTATCTGCAATAGCAAATTTAAAAAGAAACATTTGTGACAGATGCAATTTATTTGGACTTAAGTTTAATCAGTGAAAGGCTAAACTTATATAAAAGACCGAAAATTGCAGTGATCTGAAACGTAAGGTTGTAATGGCAATTCAGGATTGGAAATATTAATCATCACTATTTTGCATGGTAGAACTGTGAAACTTCATGCTATGAAATGCTATGAAAGAGCCCAGAACTACATACCTCAAAACTTTGATTAATGTGTTTTCAAAGATAATATGTATCTTATTAAAATTCAGAGTAAGTGACCATAAAAGTGGAAATTGTGTTAAGAAAACCTGTAGTATTTTAAGAGTTCTATTATGCTCAGAAACACTGACTAGAGAAAGGATGGCATAAAATAGCGAGCATTACTTTAAATGCCCAAGATTTATTGAACTAGCATATGTAGGACTCAAGTTAAAAGGGCTCAAGTGAAAAGCCTTTTAATTAATGTGAGACAAACTTAAAAATACAAAATTGCACTATTGCCCAGTTTTTGACTTTAGACACAGTCAATTCTGGTTCTTGCTGTATTTTTAAACAGTGTTTCAACATTTGCCCCAAATAGCTGTTTCATGCCAGCACGTCTCTTATTTCTCCAAAACAGAGGGGCTTCTAATCTGGTTTGAATAAAAATATACCTATATTGTTGACTTCTTGAATGTTTTTCCAAAGCAATTTACATGTTGGATTTAGAGGAGATATAGGAGAGAAGGAAAAAGGGAAGCACATCAAGACACAGGCAAAAATATCTTAGCATCTAAAGAATTCACTCAGGTAAGGCTCTAAATTAGGTGCCCTGTGATATTTAATGAACCCTATGTAATTTCCTCTATTGTTAGTCAATATCTGGTCTCCTCTAAGCATTTAACAATTATACCTTGATGAACAATAAGAAGAAGTGAATTTTTCTTTCTTCTTGCTGACAGAGAATCATTTTCAAATGATCAGAGACCATTCAGATGCCATGGGTGCATGACTGCGGGAGGAGCTGCAAACTCTAATCTGTCAGGAGACCTCGTGCATGGAAGGGCTGCTTGGCACTAATGATCTCACTCATGAACTTAGCATTGCAAGTGTCAGGGTGAGAGTATTTTGCTCTTCTCTTATGTACACATAATTAAATATAGTAGTTCCAAGTTACTTAGCAAAATAACAAGATTTTAAAGCTAAAAGCTACTCCAATATTTATAAAGATAAATAAATAGAATGGAAAATAAACAAATGAATGAATAAATGAATTGCCTAAAATTGAAAGAGAAAATATATCAGACCAGGGGTTTCTTTTTTATTAACATGAAACTCCACATAGTGAAGGAGAGCAGGCTTTAGAGTGCTATGTTTTACTACTTGGGAGAGTTACCTGGTCTCCCCAAAGCTCAATTTGTCTAACTTAACTCTGAGGAGATGGCAAGAAGATTTTTCTGAGTGTAAAGCAAGAAATAATTCAATTATCATGAGCCAGTTCTCTTTCTCTCTGGTTGCAAGTGTGTCTTTCCTCCTTCATACAAATGTCATTATCATAGAGTATCTAGAGTGAATCAGGCTTTGACATGAAACCTGAAAATTCCAGTTGCCATCTTGAGTTTGAAATTGAGTTTGGGGCAGTTTTAGTTCCCACCTTCTATTACTCCCACATAAATCCTAATTATGTTTTTTTGCTTCTTCTTAAATGTATCATGCAAAATCTTTATACAAATATTTTAGTGTTTGAGATGTTTGAATAATTTATAAAATATTCTGTTATTCAGCTTGTCATTATATAGACTTGGCAAAGATATTCACAACTGAGAACATTTCCATAGGAAAGAGATGGTAAATAATGCAGATTGTACTTTTCCCACCTCCTCATTAACTAGCAAAGCATATTAATGGCATATTTTATGTATAACATAATATGCAACTGTGTGTTGCATAAGTGAAAATGACTTTTTCTAAAAATTAAATAGTATTATTACTTTAACTATTGTATTAAATATTTCACCATTTTTTCTTATTCATTTGGAAGAAGAGCATTTTCAAATGTCTACATAATCAACTTAGTTCTTTAATTTCCATTTGGACATATCTATGTTTACCTTTTAAATAAGTCCCTATTAAATCTACTTGATTAATTTTTATTAAACCTGTTTTTCTAAAATATTTTATTTTTTGCCTTAAATTAAATGGATCTAATAGTGTGACTTTAAATATAAGAATATCTTGGTGACTTTAAAAATTAATCATTTAAACACATTTATCATTGAATAAATAATTAATCCCATTTAAAGATATCTAATTAAAAACAAAGCATAATTGTTTATAATAGACATTTATATTACTATAATATATATATATATTTTAAAATTACAAATAGTATACTTTTATGAGAATTCAGCTGAATGTCATTTTAACTAAGAGTTAAAATAATAGCTTGAGAATAACTGTTTTACTTGCTTGCATGTCTTTTCTCTGCAATGTGTATTTTAACATTTGATGCCTAGTTTAAAGTAATGTCCAATTAGAACTGAAATAAGAAGCATTTCATAAACCTTAGGGATTCACTGATTTCCAAATGTCTCCCTTTCCAAATGGGAAAACTTTTAAAACATAACTCTGTACTATATAATTTCCTACAAGTGATTTTGTTTGGGACACAGAATGGCAATGGATCTTTTGTAGTATTGCATTCCCAATTAATTAATGCCTCTTTTATGAGAACTTGGGTCATGGCAATTTTTCAGAGGATATAAAACCCTAGCAGCTAATGGTGAAGTGTTATTTCTGGCTGTACAATAGATAAGAAATTAAAGGGTGCTACCATTCAAGAAGCAAACAGTTCTACAGAGCAACAGAGATCCAATGTTCAAAAGGGAAATGCTTGGGGAACAAGGAGGACAGATTATGGGGAATGATACAGCATTGACTTATGACAAACTTTGAAATATTGAAACACTGTATTTGTGTTTCTTCTCGACTTTATGATCAATATGAATTACTCCTCTGCCCTTACATGTTGAAGCTCCATTTGCCAGGTGCCAGCGAGAAACCCATTTTCTAACTTTTTTTTTTTTCTGTTTTCTGTCATTTGAAAATTCTTGCATGTGTGCAGTCTGTTTCTCTGAGGTGGACCACATAAATTTGAAATACATGCTGATCTTATCCATCCAGAAGATCCTGGCAGTTTCAGAACTGTTTAGGGAATCCAGATATTATCCTCGGGAGTCTTAATTTGACCCACAGAAGGTACTGAAGCATCCAGATCCACAGACAAAAGAATGGAGCATCCATCACTTCTGTCAGCCCTTTGTCAGGTGAACCACAGAGCCCATTAGAATGTCCTCTATAGGGAGAAGCTTGACTGCATTCTTAGGTTAAGAAAAGGTGATGTAGTTTATAACTGCTGAGACAGGAGAGATGAAAAAAAAATGGATAAATCAGTTCAAATGAAGCCGTAAATAGAAAAGAGCATGAACACTCACCCCTATGGTGCTGTACCCCACACCTCCTCCAATTTGCAGACTACACATTTGTTTTCATAATGATCACATTCATGCATGTTTATCTTAAAGTGATGGAATTCAGGTGACTAAATTCAAATGCTGCTGGAAAAGATTTATAACACAACAGCACTGCAGGCTCAGACTGCTTCAGTTAGGAAAGAGTGAAAGGTGCATTCAGAGGAGCAGCTGATCAGTTCTTGGCAGGCAGAGTACTGCTGAAGTAACAATTTGCAATAGTTTTACACTCCTGTCAGTGCCAGTTGGCAAACTAATAGAGATGATGGAATGAAAGAACAAAATGTCACAACAGAAAGGAGTGAGTTGAAAATTCAAACATTTTCTTATTTCTCATAATCCTGCTGAATCAAAATGAAATCAGTCTACAAATGAACTATCTCTATATTGAATAAAAGGCAGCTCTCTGCACAGTTTTTTTCCAAGTTGGAAAATCGACTAACATTCTTGTGACCATTAGCTTGTTCAAAACATCATCATGATTTGTAACAACTCAGAGAACTAGTTTATAAACAAGAATATTGATTTTTAAAATAATAAGTTTTGTTGAGAATAGCAATTGATACAGACATTGAAACCTTACATTAAGGATTGCCTTGTTGTGGTGTAGTAAAAATCAGTGCTGAGATAGCAAGGTCACTTTTAAACTATTGTTTTGCTAATCGCAGGTATAATGCATCCCTTAAATATCTTTCAAATACTTATCATCTGAATTTACTGTGTAATCTTTGCCCAATGCTACAGAGGACACTATGAAAACCAATTCAATATACACATACATTCTAAATCATGTTTTAAACCTCAAAGATTTAGTAAGTGTTGTTTACTTCCTATGATTCACTCAATTTTAAGTGTTTTTATAATCTAGAGCAATTATCTCAATTTTTGGCTTTAGGAAAAAGCAAATTTATTTATCAAAACAAATATGAGAAAATCAAATTAGCGCATCCCATCAGAAGTTCAACACAGGATAACTAAATGTGAAATGCAGATGCTGCCAAAACATCACAAATCTTGTCTCAGTAAGTACACTAAAAAGCAGGTCTTTACTTCAGAGAAACTACAAAACAGAAGCCATTAACACATCAGGAATGAACTACAAGTAACTTGCCAAAGGTTGCAAAGTAATTTTCTCCCTTAATATAATTTTAAAGTGTGTTGGTGTGGTGGCTTATTCATTTTTCTTCCTTTGGGCATATAGGAGAAAATACTTTTATATTCACATGGAAAATAGAGTATGTCCACTATAAAGTTCAGAATGCATCTGAATGTCTTGTTTTTAACATATGCATCTTTAAATTGTATATGCTTATTAATTTTATTTCTGGTTACAAAATGATTCTTATATCTTCACTTTTTTATATTTATAAATGATTATTTTATTTTTTTATATTTATAAATGATTAAATCACAATGTAAAATCACAGTTGTACATTAGTCTAAGAGCATTTTCAAAAACATTTAATAGAGAATATTTATTTCTATGTAGGGCTTATAAGCATATTTACATTGTAAAGGTTACCTTTTGATCTCATTATTCTACATGAAATTTTGACATGTAATTTCATAACAAAATTTATGCCACACTATTTAATTGCCTGTTTATCTCCACAGACGAATGCAGCACCATGTATTGTATTTAAAAGGATCTGTTGTTGTCATTTTACCATACTGGGATTGAACCCAGTGATACTCTACCACTGAGCAACATCCCCAACTCTTTTTTAAAAATATTTTTTAGTTTTACATGAACATATATATTTTGTTTATTTATTTTTATATGGAGCTGAGGACTGAACCCAGGGTCTCACACGTGCAAGGCGAGCACTCTACTGCTGAGCCACAACCCCAGCTCATATTTTTGTTTGTTTTAAGATATGATCTCCCTAAATTGCCCAGGCTGGCTTCAAACTTGCTGTCCTCCTGCTTCCACCACCTGATTAGCTGGTATTACAGGTGTATACCACCATGCATTGCTAAAAGGAACTTAAAAACCATGCAATTATTTGGAGAACTAAGTCACTCCAGAAGGAGAAATGCTTATACCATTCTTTAGAGAAGAAATTCTGCATAACTTATCATCTGAATATTTTTGGAATTTTAAAATAAAGCTTCTACATTGGCAGAATCCAAATCCCCCTGACATCAGTTTTAGCAGACTGGAGGTTAGCTATTATACGCCAAAATATTTCTCTTGTATATATTTCCTGTTGGAATAAGTCCTGTTAGTAAGAACATTTTTTTTAGCACTAAGGAAATCAAATTCTGTTTTTGCTTTGCTTTTGCAGGGGGTTGGTATGGAATAAGGCTGTATTTTATTATGGTTGCTTATTGAACATTTTTCAGGAAACAGCTATTGCTACTCCTCTCCTCTAACTCATCAATCTTCACAATTTGAATATTTACCTATACAATGTTTTAAATTTTTTTATCATCACTATCGCTTACAATAAGCTCTCAGCATTTGTTTCCTGAGCAAGTTTCTCTTAGCATTTTTTACTACCCTTGTTGTTTCCTATATGCAGTCCATATTTCATACAGCTACAACTTTATCTTTGTAATTCCAAGATTTGACTGTGTTACAACTCTGTTAAAAATGTCAACTGTATCTAATTCACTATTAGATAAGAGCTAAAACCCTAAGTGTTGTATGAAATCTTGCCATTCCAGCAACATCTACAAACCAGTAACCTAACTACCATATGGAATGTGGAAATGCAGAATAAGGTCCTATCCCAGACCAACTGAATAAAATTTCTATTTAGAGCTGATCACCCAAAATGTTTGCAAACTGTATATCGAACAAAGGGTTACTATCCAGAATACACGAAGAGCTCCAAATTTTCACCAGTCTATTAATTGAACTCAAATAACCTGATTAAAAATAGACAATAGATCCAAATAGACATTTTTCAAAAGAATGCATACTATTGTCAATAGGTATATTAAAAAGGCTTGAAATCATTAATCCATCAGGGATAATGAAATAAATATAAGCTCACCCAAGTAAGAATGGTTATTCTCAAAAGTACTAAAGTTCTACTGAGGATGTAAAAAAAAGGGTACCCTTGCACCATGTTGATAGACATGTAAATTAGTGCAGCCATTACAGAAAACAGTATGAAGTCTCCTCAAAAGAAAGAAAAGAAAAATAAAAACAGACATACCATGTGATCCAGCAAGTCTACAAGAAGAAAATGAGATCAGTATGTCCAGGAGACATCTGTACTCTCATGTTTACTGCAGCATTACTCACAATAGCCAAAAAATTGTAACAGCCTAAGTGACCGTCAGCTTATGAACAGATAAAGCATATGTGGTACATACATACCATGGAATGTATTCAGCCATAAAAGGAATGAAATACTGACACTTCTGACAACATGGATGGACCTGGAGATCATTATTGTAAGTAAAAGAAGTCAGGCCCCCAGAAACAAGTACCCTGGGATCTCACGCATAAGTAGAATTTTCATTTTAAAAAGATGGTCCCAAATATTTGGAAGCTATATATGTAATAAAGGATTAATATCTAGAATATATAAAGAATTTCAAAACTTAAATGCACACACACACACACACGCGTGCATACACACACACACACACACACACACACACACATACACACAGAATAATTTTAAATCTAGGTGGTAGACCTAAATAGACATTTCTCAAAAGAAGACCTACACATGAGCAACAGATATATACAAATATTTGATATTACTAACCATCAGAGAAACACAAAAAAAGTTGATATAGAATTTGAGAGTAGAATTGTGATTCCCAGAGGCTGGGGAAGTTGAGGGAGGGTCTGATGAGGAAAGACTGATCAATGGGTACTAATTTGCATTCCATAGAACTAAGACATTTTGATGTGTTTGTCATCCTACTGCACAGTAGGATGACTAAATAACAATGATGTACTGTGTATTTCAACAAAACTATAAGGAAAACTTTTGAATAATTTCATAATAAAGAAATGATAAATGTTTAAGCAGATAGATGTGTTTGACCTTATTTAAACATTACACATGCATCAAAACACCGAAAGTACCCCATTACTAGGTACCATTTTGTTTTTACCTATCAGTTAAAAATGAAGCTAATAAAACATGAGCTCCAATGAAGAAGGCCACCTGAGTGCTTAGCTTGCAATTAAAACATGTGAACCCCTAGTTCCTAAGGGTGCCCCAGTCTAGCCCTATCTTATGTCTCCAGGTGCATCCTTCACTAACTTCTTTCCCTTTCTTCCACTGTTCCCCCACTGGTTCTCACTTTTCTTGACTCTGAATGATATTCTACCTCTCACCTTCTCGTTATATAGTAATCTCCTTTTCTGACTTCCCTAAGAAACTCCTATACATTCATTAGGAGCAAGACCAAATATCTTCTCATCTGAAATTTTTTTTTTCAGGCACAATTAGTTGCTTTTCTCCTCTTGGCTTTTATAGTATATTTTACTTATTTGTTTTAAGGGCAATTTTGTATTATGTTGTAATTAACTTCTTTCATGTCTCCCTCGCTAAGCTGTTTTTTCCTCCTTTGATATCTACTAGAGTTCATATAATATGGTAGGTCCTTGACAAACATTTGTTCAATAAATTCATGAAAGACTAAAACCTTCAGTAGTTCTCTATATCTTGCTCAGGGCAGATTAAAAGAAAATAAATATTTTCTGTAGGCCAATGTGAACAATTGTCTTCAGTATCATTATTATAGGAACCCAAAACTATCTGGGAGGAAGTACAGCTCTCTGCCACTGTGAATTAACCCAGGGTGGTGATAGAAATTAAGTTTTGCTGCAAAGTTTGTAATGTCTCTAATATGTCTTATAAATTCAACCTAAAATCACAAGACAAATTAGCACGTGTATTCAAAAATCACACTATTAAAGTCATTTCAAGGACAACTGACATTGATTGAGAAGTGATGTCAAACTGCAGACAATACTCCAGATACTGTCAAAACTCAAAGCAAGAAGAGAGATTCTCCCCCCCATTCCCACACAAATTTGCAGGATATTTATTTTCTGAGCCAAACCATAGTTCAGAAGCACTTTTTGGACCACAGTGCAAGTACAAAGGAAATATTTGCATTTCAAAATGCATTTAAGTCTACAATTGAGGAGCTTCCACCTTACCTTCAGTTGTAAAATGTAAAGACATGTTACAAGGCATAAATTAAGAAATTAATTTCATGGAATCCTATAAGTTTCTTCCAAATGACAAATATGCCCAATTAAAATCATATGTTCATGCATTTATATCAATATCTGGCA